CATAGACGGAAACATGAAGAGTGAGCAATTGGGCTGGTTTGCACCCATTTTGCAGGGACTGTGCATGCTTCAAAATAGGATCTATGGTGTGCATACACACATTTGGGACATATTGTGCCAGATACCATAATAGTGAGAGCACTCACAGACGCTGAACATCCACTGAAGTAAACAGTGCTGGCTGCTCAGACATCAATCAGCTTGCAATGCTGATTTGGTGTCGGGAGTGCCAGTTTGGAACTCAACACTCTGACAAACAAGGCCAGAAACTGATGGAAATACTCAACAGATCAGCAGCATCTATGGGACAGAGTGCAGATTAGTTGTTTCAGGTTGACAATCTTTCAGCAGAACTGGGAGAAGTTAGAAATTGTATAGATTTTGAGCAAGCAATGGCAGGTCAGAGGCAAAGGGGGATATTCTGACATGCTGAGAGACAAGCAAGATTGAGTGATGGAAGAGGAAGTCTTGCAGGGCCCAGGGGAATGGAGATGGGTCAAGAAAAGAAAGGAAGAAAAGATGTACCTAGATAAGTGTGCTGCTGTTTGAAAGCAAAAGTAAGGCAAAACTTAAACAAAAATAAAAAGAAACAAAATGGAAACGTAGAGTTTATTGTGTGAAATTGTTGAATTTATTGCTGGCTCCAGAAGCCAATAATTACCTTACTGAAAGATGAGATGCTATTTCTCAACTTTACACTGAATTTCACTGGAACGGTGCAACAGGCCAAGGGCAGAGAGGTCAGTGTGAGAGCAAAGTGGCGAGTTAAAATATCAGACCACTGGAATCTCAGGGTCATGTTTACTGAGTGAATGCAGGTGGTTCACAGAGCAATTACACAATCTGCATTTGATCTCCCCAAGTGTAGAGGAGATCACATTGCCAGCAGCTAATTCAACAGACAAAAAATTGAAGGAAGTCAATGCAAATCACTGCTTTAACAGAGTCTTGGATTGTGCGGAGACAGGAGGTAAACAAAGCAGGTGTTACATTTTCTGAATGTGCATGGAATAGTGCCAAGGGAAGGGGGTGAAGTGTTGTGGGATGATGGAGAAATGGATCAGAATATCATGGAGGGATTGACCCTTTTGCAATGCTGAAAGGACACAAGAGAGGAACATATGTTTGATGGTGACATCATGGTGGGATGGGTGCAAATAGTGAGAAAAGACCAAATGAACACAGAGGGTTGATGGTTTGAAGGTCAGAATAAGGGGAACCCTATTGTGGTGCTGAAAGTGAATGAAAGGGATGAAACAGAATTTCAGAAAATGCACCAGATATGGTTAAGCACCCGGTCAACCACAATGGTGACAAGTTGGGTAGTAGCTCAGCTGAAGAAAAAAACATGGTATCTCAGAAGACGTGGTGTGGAAAGTTTCATCTTCAGAACAGCTGTGACAAATGGAGACAAAGGAACTGGAAGACTGGAATGGAGATCTTACATGACCACATCCTTTCTTAGATGCATCATGTGGATCATGTGTTCAGCAGCATGAAGAACACCCTACCAGCAAACTTTAAAGGATCATCAACTGTTTCTTAATTAGTTGCTGGTTGATTTCTTCTGGCTGTTGTTGCTGTTCTGGGTTGGATGCTTTCTATAGCTGCTTCAAGTTGCAACGGTCTATAGGGAGTAGTGTGGATGAAACCAAAAGGCTTCACATGGGATTCAGGGGGAGCTTGCCAATTGGATACAATTGGCTTAATGGCAGGAGACGGAGATTAATGGTAGAGGATTGCTTTTCAGACTGGAGGCCTGTGACGAGTAGTGTTCCACAGGGATCGGTTCTGGACCCTCCTTTGTTTGTCATTTATATAAATGATTTTGATGAGAAAGCAGAGGGCATAGTTAGTAAGTTTGCAGATGACATCAAAATTGGTGGCATTATAGACAGTGAAGAAGGTTTTCTAAGATTACAAAGGGATTTTGATCAAATGGGTCAATGGGCTGAAAATGGCAGATATAGTTCAATCTGGAGAAAGGCGAGGTATTGTGCTTTGGTATAACAAACAAGGTTAGAGCTTATACAATTAATGGTAGGGGCTTGGGTAGTGTTGTGTTGAACAGAGGGACCTAGGGGTGCAGCTACATAATTCTTTAAAGTTTGCATCACATATAGACAGGACGCTTGCCTTCATTGCTCAGTCCTTTGAGTATGGGAGTTGGGACATTATGTTAAGGTTGTACAGGGCATTGGTGAGGCCTCTTTTGGAATACTGTGTCCAGTTCTGGTCGCTCAGTTACAGGAAGGATATTATCAAGCTGGAGAGGGTTCAGAAGAGATTTACCAGGATGTTGCCTGGTATGGAAGGTTTGAGTTATAAGGAAAGGCTGGATAGGCTGGGACTTTTTTCACTGGAGTGTAGGCGGTTGAGAGGTTACCTGAAAGAACTTTATAAAATGACGAGAGGTATAGATAGAATTGATGGAGAATTTCAAGACTCGGTGAGAGGAGCGAGATTTAAAAAAGACTTAAGAGGAAAATTTTTTACACAGTGGATAGTTCGCGTGTGGAATGAACTTCCTGTTAAAGTGCTGAATGCAAGTACAATTTCAATGTTTAAAAGACATTTGGATGGATATATGAATAGGACAGATTTGGAGGGATTTGGGCCAGAAGCAGGCAGGTGGGACCAGTTTAATGTGGGATTATGTTCGGCATGAACTGATTGGACTGAAGGGTCTGTTTCTGTGTCGTAGGACTCTATGCTGACTCCTGCACAAACTCATCGTTCACAACCTTGAGCAGAGTGGAAGGCATTCCTTTCCTCTGAAATACAAAATGACCCAGGTCAAAACTTTACAAATGGTGCATTTCCCAACCTGCTCAGTTGAAGAATTGGATGGGGAAAGCAACTCTGCTAATAAGTGCAGTCCCACAGTCAATCAATGCTCAGAGGAGGGAAGGTGAGGATGGGAGATGCTGAGGGAGAGTTCAACAAGGAGAAGGAGCACCTATGAGGCAGAACTTCGGGTGGCAACCAATTTGAAAAGTGGGCTCTTTAGGGAGGTGTGACAACTTCCTGCTTATGGTCTGACCAGAATGATACAAGAGGTTTCCCTTCTGCCTCTGAATTTCTCTTGACAGGCTCAAAATTGAGATGGTTTGAGGGATTTTGAGTTTGGTGGAAGGTTACCCAGGGAATTTTACAAGCCTCACAAACTATAAAATTCTGCCTTGGGGGAGTTTGAAGTGAGGGTGCAGAGAGAAGGGCAAATTACTGGAAGAAGGATCAGGAAGAAGAGTGGGAGAAAGCTCTCAGCAGTTAGCAATGTACATCTTCAGAGAACAATGGTTCAAACTGAGCCTTGATATGGAACAATATGGAACGTTTGCACTTCATTGAGTAGAGCTTCACTGAAATCTGCTATCTGAAACAGCTACAACCTACCAACTCAACAAGTCCACAGCCACATTGTCAAGGTGGCAAGAAACATTACACATCCAGCTTCTGCCAGATTAGAGCAGGGATTTTCCAGTATATTCCGCTGTTGAATGAAAGATGCTCTCTGTTCAATGGGAGCTCATGACTTTCATTTTCTGTTGGTGGTGGCAAGCAGGTGGAGTGAGCAGAGCCTCAGTTCTGTGAAGATTGCAGGTTTCCCAAGAGTGTACGCTGCTACTGAATCCACCCAAACACTTTGCGAGCACGGCATTTCAACTCTACCCCATACCATACTTCCACTCACTTAAAATCCAGTGTCTTGTGCAGAGCAATGATTGATATCCTGGCAGCCGTCATGATGCCTTCTTTTTGCAGCACTCCACACTTCTGTGCAGTCTGTCTTTGAACTAACACCACAAGCCAAAGGTAGCTACTGGGACACAAGTGACTACCCTTTGACAACATGGCTGATGACTGGTGCATCACATGTGTACATGTGGGCAGCATACATACATGAAAGATATGCCAAGTGACTTGAAATTCTATATAGCAGACCGTTGATGTGATGAAACAATCTTTCTGCTGCAGTATTCAGCAGAGTAGACATCATGCTTTGCATGCTGCATAACCTGCCATTCCAACAACTATGTGGCCAACAGCTTAGGAACAGTAGGAGTGAAGATAGAAGAACAAGGAGTGAAAGAAGAAGGAAGGAGGTAACCTTTACAGTGCTGCCCCAGCCAGACTATCCATGAACAGCTTATTCATATCTGAAAGCAATGACAAGAACCTCAGTTTCTTAATTAGCAGTAATCTCAAACCTTTGTTATCAAGGCCATGCTCACTTGGCCATAATGTAATAATAAATTGCACTGAAAAAAACAAACAAACTTACACACAAAACTGTACACAGAAAAATTCTAAATTTCAATGCCCACCACCAAGAGGGGCCTCATAGCACCCCCACTAGCCGAGCTGATCAAGCCCTAAAGGACATAGCTGCTAGACTGGGTCTGAGAGAAATGATTAAGGAACCAACAAAAGGGGAAAACATACTTGAACTCATCCTCACCAATGTTCTTATCACAAATGTATCTGTCGATGACAATTTCGGTAGGAGCGACTACCCAATTGTCTTTGTGGAGACAAAGTACCATCTTCATATCAAGGATCACCTCTATCATGTTGTGTGGCATTATCTCCATGATAAATGAGGTAGATTTTGAACAAAATATGCCACTCAAGACTGGGCACCTATGAGGAGCTGTGGAACATTAACAGCAACTGAATTGTACTAAAACACAATCTGCACACTCATGGCCTAGCATATCCATCACTCTATGATTATCAACAAGCTATTTCATTTCTTCTTCCCTTAAGCAGTCATTTTTAAACAAAACAGCTTTTCAAACAGTTTAGATGAACATCCCATAGGGTCATCAATTAAAGATCATTCACATAGTTCTCTTGCAGGAAACTTCACTACGCTTACACTTTAGATAAAAGCTCAGTCTTCAATATCGACTGTGTGATCACATTTGCTCGATAGATTTTTCTTTAGCTAAAACTAAACTCAGGTGCTGAGGTCATTCCTTTCAACGCTCACTCACCTTTCCACCTTTTAATTGATGTGAATAGTTCTCACATGCTCCCTTGTGTTATGGTCACCATATTCTGTGGCCACTCATCCGAGGCAACACATTGAATGGACATGTGGTTTCCTGCTAGGAATTATGGGTAAGTGATGTAATCAAAGACTCACTGTTTCAATCCAATAGCCTGTCCTGTTCCATCAATTTTATTCCTTAACTGAAATGTCATCAACCCAGGTGGCCTGACAAGGTGATGGTAAAACGCTCTAACCAGAGAAATAGGAAACAGCTGACACAGATTCACATCCATTCCAAACAGGGGAAAGTAAGTAAATGAGGATAGCAACGAAACAAATTACTTCACCACTGTAGCTTAGATATCTTTGAAGAGAAGTCTATATAAAGTACTTTGTAACCGCATTTTAATCAACAGAGAGGAAGAACTGTGCAAGTCCTGGAGAAATGGTTAAAAATAGCTGTTTGAGCTGTTACACTACAGTCTTGACCAATTACTTTGTGCCAAAATTATTGCAGGATGTCAGGAGTACATCACAGAAATCGCGAGCCATGGTAACACGCCTGAGAATTGAGTTGATTCACAACTTTGACACAGAAAACCTAAAATGAAGTTAAAAGCTACATTTATAATTAATATCGAGGTATCTTTTTTCTGTCATTTCAATTAATAAATGTAAGCAAGAGTGGGAACAATCAGTCTGTGGAAGGATTCTCACAAAAACAAATGTTTCAACAGAACAGTATCATATAGTTAGGTGGCTAAAGGCAGCTTTAAAATGACCTGAAGAATATCTGACTTCTAAAGGACAATAATAATAGCATCCACAAAACTAAATACATAATAAATACAGTAATTTAAGTTTAATAAGTTTAAAAAAGTGTGCTCATTGCAATCTCATACACTGCACAAGAGAAGAATCTAATGGACGTGGGCACAGTGAGTGTCAGGAAATTGGGCATGTCAGAGCACGTATCCAGAAAGGAACACACCCAATTTTCCCTCAATTAATTAAAATGGATGGAAAATCAGAAGGTTTTCTTGACAGGCGGTGCTCCAACCTGCCCAATTTTCCAATATTTGCTGCATTCCATGTGATCTCGTACACCTGGGCACAGGCCCAGGAAAACCAGGAAAAAATATTCAGAAGTTTAACTTTCAGACAGCCTGCTGTTGTAATTTTCACTCAAAACTAAACCAAAGGACTGACAGTCCTTCTTTTCCATGTGCCCCATCTTATTTAGTACCACAGAGGGATAGATTTTAATGGCTGTGCATTCATATGTTGTTCAGCTCACTGCCGTTGAACAAAATGTAGCTGTGTTCATAATTGGAACTGCACCATATTCCAAATAATAAGTTTATTTGAGGAGTGCCTTTACTCGCAAGGTAAAGCACCTAAAGGTGAACAGTGTGACAAGTGCAGACAAAAATTCCCATTACGTAAAGCCCTTTACACAATAGTCTGGTTATTTGCTTCAGCCTAATCTATTATTTGTGCAGTGATTTTTACTATTATTCAATAAACTTGAAAACCTTTCTCTCACTAAATCCATCCATCATTTGCACATTTAAAAGTGTTTAGCTGAAATACCCTCTTAACTGAAGACAGCTGAAGTAAGTTGGCAATGCAGAACTAAGGCCAAACAATCCAGATGCTGGAAATCTGAATTAAAAACAGAAAATGCTGAAAGCACTCAGCAGTTCAGGAACTCCTCTAGAGAGAAACAGAATTATCGTTTCAGGTAGTTGACCTTTTATATCACTTGAAGTGTTACTCTATCTCTCTCTTCATAGATTTTGTCTGACCTTCTAAATATTTGCTGCATTTCTGTTTCCATTTTAGTTGATAACACCTCACATGATCATAATATCATGTGATGCATCTTAAAGGGTAGAACTTATTTCAAATTTATTTGATGCTTGGCAAATGGATTTTAAAATCTGTTTTATTAAAATTGAGGACAGACTGCAGAATTATTTACCTGTGAAGTGCTTATAGATGCTGTGCATTCAGAACATGGGATCAGACTTCTGTATCAGGGGATGTTTCCTGCTTAGTTGGATTCCATCCTCAGTTTCAGGCAAAGCCACATGATGGATAAAGTAACTGATTAGATTCCACTAGTTGCCAAAACTGCACCTCTTATGGACCATCTGAGGAACAACATCACAAAGAATTTCAAACCATGCTACAATTCACAGCATCAATATTTAAGGAAGAAAAGTGGTGGCATGAGAGGATATTTAGAAAGGTGCAGTTGTAACATTGGTGCCAGTTAAAAATATCAATTAAAGGTATGATGAAAATAAGCAATTAGATGCAGGGGGAGATTTGCGTTGCTGCTAAGTTTCTGAAAATACGTAAATCATGAATCCTGATGACAGTATCAAGGGAATAAGATAGGAAGAATGGCCAACTCTGTCTGTGTGAAGAGTCTGCAGAGTTAATACTGCTCAAAAGACACAACCGTTGTGCATTCAGTGTATATCTAGATTCCATGTCTATTTCTACAATTACAACAGGGCATTGTTGATCTACAGATCTTGGTGAAGGGGAGTCGAATATCCAGGACCGTTTCAACCCATCTGATTTACTGGAAGAGGCAAATTAATTCCTTTCCTAACGAAAGTCTTGGTATTACCTTCAGATGTCAACCTTGATTTGAAGCTCAACAAAGAGATGCACTTTTTTTGTACAGTGTCCATTGGTAATCAATTAAATAAAGAACATTTAAAAATAGGTTATGAATAACACAGTGGAAAGTTCCAGCCATAGTACAACAGTGTGACTCCTGACTCAAGGCACCACCACAGGAGAAACATTAATATTTGTAGCAAAGGGAAGTAGATTTCATTTTCCCTGATGTATGAATCTTTCCATTCTGGCCTATTCCTGGCAATGCTATCTACACTTCATTTTGCACCATCTCACTCCTGTCTCCTTTTTATTCAAGGAATTCAACCTGGGTTTAATATAACTTATTCTGAAAAACCAGTTCATCTAGTTACAGCAGCAAACAAAATATTTTCATGTTCTTTTAGCATGCTAACTTTTGGAAAATATTCAGCAAGTTTTCACATTAGATTGCAGTGGTTAAATCTTTAATATTTGTTTTTCCACATTTTGTTGTATGTATATTTATATTATGCACTATATATATTTATTATAAGGGCACTTTTTCATCTTTAGAATATATTCATATATAATTTACAACTTGCAGCCCAATATGTGCTCATATTTTACATGAGGAACACATGAAGCTGAAAATATTGCCTATTTCTTGACCAGTTACATTGACGATGGAAACTGAAATAATTATTTTAAATTTCCCATGAGTATATAGAATGTACTCATAAAATTACTTGCTATTAAAGAATTGCTTTTAATATACTTTAACAAAATACACACAGCATATCAATTTTACTCATACTTTTCTTCAAAATCTGAATATCTCATTCTATACCGAACATGCAACTTTTAGCTTTTTTTGAGTAATTTACAGTGATTCAATTAGATGTACTCTAAATTGAAATTCAGACACACTCACAATATTGCATGATAATATATGCACAGATTTAAAAATGTAACTTCTAGATCTAATCACCCAAACCCTGTACAAATCTGCAAATACATATCAGGTCTGTTAGATCGGAAAAGCTAAATAGGTTCAATGGTTCAACAGTGTGGATCTTCAACAGAACTGCAAATTAAAACTGCAAACAGCACATCTGCTAATGTGGTATACTGTATCCACTGTTCTCGATGTGGCCTCCTCTACATCGGGGAAACCAAGCGGAGGCTTGAAGACCGCTTTGCAGAACACCTATGCTCGGTTCGCGACAAACGACTGCACCTCCCAGTCGCGAACCACTTCAACTCCCCCTCCCATTCCTTAGACGACATGTCCATCCTGGGCCTCCTCCAGTGCCACAACAATGCCACCCGAAGGTTGCAGGAACAGCACCTCATATTTCGCTTGGGAACCCTGCAGCCCAATGGTATCAATGTGGACTTCACAAGCTTCAAAATCTCCCCTCCCCCAACTGCATCCCAAAACCAGCCCAGCCCGTCCCTGCCTCCCTAACCTGTCTGTCCTTCCTCCCACATATCCCCTCCTCCCACCTCAAGCCCCACCCCCACCTCCTACCTACCAGCCTCATCCCACCTCCTTGACCTGTCCATCTTCCCTGGACTGACCAACCTCCACCCTAACTCCCCACCTACACTCACCTTTACTGGCTCCATCCCCGTCTCTTTGACCTGTCTGTCTCCTCTCCACCTATCTGCTCCTTTATCCATCTTCCATCCGCCTCCCCCTCTCTCTCTATTTATTTCAGAATCCCCTTCCCCTCCCCCATTTCTGAAGAAGGGTCCAGACCCGAAACGTCAGCCTTCCTGCTCCTATGATGCTGCTTGGCCTGCTGTGTTCATTCAGCTCTACACCTTCTCATTGCAGATTAAAGGTTAGCTTACCGTTTTATAGGATTTGAAGACAGAAAGGAAGAACACATAGAAGTGAAGAATCAGGTATGCTGAATCAAATGTACAAATAATGGGCAAAGAGTAAGAGTGAACAACTGAATAGCTTATAAAAAATATGATGTAGAGGTGCCAGTGTTGGACTGAGGTGGATAAAGTCAGAAGTTGTCACTTCACCTGACGAAGGAGCAGCACTCTGAAAGCTTGTGATATCAAATAAACCTGTTGGATTATACCTGGTGTCGTGTGACTTCTGACTTTATAAAAATATGAAGAAACAATAGTACATACAACAACAAGGAATGGTGAGTACACAAACACAGCAAAAGCTTCCTGGCCCTGACAATTTCCAGACTGTAATGCTGAAGACCTGTACTTCAGAACAAGGTACAGAAAAACACACATGCTTGGGATTAATTGGGAAGCAACATTCATGCCACACTGAAAGGCATATCAATGACAATATCTATGCTTGACATTAAATGCTATCGGCAACATTGAAACTCCCATCAATAACAGCCTCAAAGTCCTGTCACTAATACAATATTGCTATATGCATGACTCAGCATCAAATTTTGTTTTGTAACATTCTGGTAGGCATTTGGTGCTCTTTGTGCTCCATTGGGACTGAAGGGGAAAAAAGTGTTCTCT